GGGAGCAGGGGGGTAGAAAAGACTGTGGAATGAGATGGACATCATTACCCTAAGTACATGTATGAAGACATGAATGGTGTGACTATCCTTTGTATACAACCAGAGATATGAAAAATTGTGCTCTATGTGTAATATGAATTGTAATGCATTCTGCTGTCACATATAACAAATCAGAATAAAAAATAAACAAATTTTTTCTAAAAAGAAATGTTTCCAGATGTCTCATTGTTAACCCTTTTATATTTCCTATTTTTGCATTTCATAATATATTTGGGCTATGCTTATATAATTCACATATGCATGAAACTTATGATGAAAGATCAAATGTTTTAATGATGTCAGTTTAAAAGACCCCTYATGTACATGCAAATCTAAGTACACTCAAGCCTTTTTTACTTGAGCCATGTTGAAAAGATGTCAAGACCTTAAACAGTCTCAATAGCACCATGGAGCTACTAGTGAAAAGGTCAGGACTTCAGCAATAGAATTCCCAAATGCAATCTGTCTGCACAGAACCTAAAAAAAAAAAAAACATGATTTGACAGAGAAATGGCATTAAGCAAAAGATCCAAACGAATCCTATATAGTGCGCTGGCATCAGGTGGCCAGGCAGGGTCAGCACCAGAAACCACACCTGGGCTAAGGTTCAGCTCAGTGGGAGAGCTCCTGGGCCCAAGCTCAGGGCTAGGGGTGGAGGACTTCAAAGACAAGGCAGAAAGGGACACAGCCACAGGCAGGGCAGCAGGGGAGGAGCTCCCAGGGTTCTGTTAGGTGTGCACGGTGCAGCCTACTGCACCAGACAGAATGTCACAGAGCAAACASCATGTAGGGACATCCTTGGGCAGGGAAAGAGTGGCATGCTAAGCCCTGGAGTGGCTGGAATAGAGGAGTAGCAGGTGGCAGCAAGGCCAGGCCATACCAGGCCTTCATGGCCCACGATGCAATTCAGAGAGCCGGAAAATACATGATCCCTGCCCAGAGCAAGGACCACACCAGTTCCAGGGTTCTGGGAGCACCTGGCAGAGGGAGGACATGGAATAAGTCACCTGGCTGGGGGCTGCTGAGGCTCCACAGCAGGTGCAGAGCCAAGGTTGACAGGGCCCATGGCACATTCTGAAGCACTCAGAGCAGATGCTGACTCACTGGCAAACTGGCCAGAGTCGACAGCTCAGAGGGACTGCAACTCCCTGTGTGCCCTCCAGCTCAGAATGACAGACCATCCTCCCTACAGACACCTGAAGGGGAGTGAGTGGCCATGCTCAGGCAAGAGCTCACAACAGGCACATAGGAAAAACCTCATGGCAGTGCAGCTCTATCACCAGTCAAGGAAGACACCTGCCTGGCCACTTCCAAGGAAAAGAGAAATTTATGTTTTGTTTTGGGACGAGAGTTGAACCCAGAGGTGCTTAGCCACTCAGCCACATCCCCAGCCCCTTTTATTTTGAGACATGGTTTTGCTAAATTGCTTAGGGCCTCACTAAATTGTTGAGGCTGGCTTTGAACTTACAATTCTCCTGCCTCAGCCTCCAGAGTTGCTRGGGTTACAGGCGTGCAGCAAAAAGAAGTTCTTAAGGGAAAAAGTGGCCTGACAGGACAAACAGTTTAAGCAGTTCACAACCAGGAAACTCTTGGGACTGACACTTCCTCCAGTCACATTCACTCGTGATTTCCCCTCAATGGTCCCCAAACACCTGAACAGCATTCCAGAATTTTTACATCTCCTAAACTCTGGTGGAGGTGGCAGCAATAAATAAGGCCAGAGCAAGACCAAGTGTGGCCGCTGGGGCAGCAGGAGAGAGAAAGGGAATGGAAGTGGGGAAGCTGGGGGGGGCCTGCAGCACCAACACCCTTCCAGAGAGCAGCGTCAGCAAGGGCAGTCCAACAGATCTGGCTGCAGGGAAACAGCCTGGGCCACACGTGGGGGCCACTGGAATCCGCAGGGCACTGCAGTCCCTGACCAGTACTCTGGGTAGCAGGGAGGTACCCACTGTTTCCAGAAAGGAGACCAGCRGGGGAAGACCTGGAGGCCAACAGAAGGCTGCTATTAGCTGGTAGGGGAGAGTAACAGAGGACCAGGAGGATTCGACCTGATCACAGCTGGACAAAYAGGCAGACATTTACATGGTTTGCTTTTCCCCTTCCAGTGTTCTTGCCACCTCCAGGCCCGTCCTTTAGGAGGAAAAATTAAYAATTTTTTTTGATGGAGAGAGAATACAGTACTAGGGACTGTACCCACAGCCTTGCACAACTAGGCAAGCACTCTGCACACACTAGACAAGCACCACTGAGCTACATCCCAGCCCCTCTTATTTATTTATTAATTATTTATTAAGGTACTAAGGATTGAATCTAGGGGTGCTCTACCACTGAGCTACATTCCCAGCCCTTTTTTATCTTATTATTTTGAGACAGGGTCTCACTAAATTGCTGAAGGTCTCACTAAGTTGTGCAAGCCAGCCTTGAACTTGAAAATCCTTCTGCCTTAGCCCCTCAAGTTGCTGGAATCATAGGCATGTGCCACCATGCCAGGCATGTTTTTAACAAAAGGTCACAATTACTTTCTCAACCCACCACAATTATACATGACTGTTTAAACAATGACTGGCCATATCAGCCTACCAAAGTCTACTCTGAAGTTCTAATTCATCTTCATCTACAAAACAAACGGGAAAAAATGTGATACATGAACCTACAACCACCATTCTTGCCTTCTATGACCAAAATAATTTACTGAGATAAAATACTTGTACTCTGGGCAGCCACAACATTGAGACAAATGAGAGCCACACAGGAAAACACTTCCTCTCCCTCAAGGGAACTGTTTTTTTCTTATTAAGAGGGGTTGAAGTGGGAGAAACACTCAAGATCTACAATGGCAGGCTACAGGGTACAAAGCAATCTGCATTTCCATCTCCAACCCAAATTAAATACCTGTGAAACCCAGCATTCATTAGTAGCTAATTCCAAGTAGCCACTCTTCAAGTTGACATCCAGATGCCTCCTCCTATCAGTCGAATCTTAAACCCAGCACTTCAGGGACTGGGCACACAAGTTTAGTCCCAGCTCTGTCACTGCCTAATTTCAATGTTACTAACTCAGGCCTGGTTTTTCTCGCCTATCAGTGATGATGGTGCTCCCACAAGGCCCTGGATCTGATTGCAGGCACCACAAAAAAAAAAAAAAAAAAGTGATGAGACCAACTGTTGGACTCAGTTCTTTCTAGCTCTAAAATTGTCCTTTTCTGATGATGTGCTTTTCTTCCAAATTCCTTTAATCAGTACACAGAGTATATAAGCTGCCTGTTTCCCACTCCTACTGCACCACCAGGCTCACCTTTGAGACTTCGAAAGGAGATGCAGCTTGCCAACACCGTCCGTCCAAAAGAATAATAAAATCAAAATACAATTACAGCAAACTACCATATGGGACAAATCCAATTCACCCTTGGATTTTTTTTAATAACAAGAAAAGCATAAAACCTTAAAAGATGACCAACTATCATGGCCCAAATACAGCAGATGCTTTGAGAACAGCAGGGAAGTGGGGTCCTTGGTGGAGAGTCCTTCACTCTCCTCCTGGTGCGCTCAGGGGCAGTCAGCCACTCCTATGATAGCTCGCAGGCTCCCACTCCTCACAGACTGCCAACTGGAGCAGGCGGCAGTGACTCAAGAGTGAGGATGGAGCTGTTCCACCTTTTAGGGCCTCAGATTTCACCTGTGGTGACTGCGTTTCTAGAGGCTCACCAAGGTCATTGTCAGGGCTCCACTCATCTACAAGTTCAACCTCTTCTCCCCAGGACTTCAGGTTAATATGAAGACCCCAAAGATATCCCAGGCATCACAAGAAACACTGGGAACAGTCACAAACAAAAAGGGCCGCGCAGGGCAGAAACAGGCGTCCCGGTGAACAACAGGTAACGCTTCCCGTAGAGACTGGCATCGGGCTTTGCTTTGAGTTACTAGAAGTACTAGTACAAACACACGTGAACACTTACAAATCAAAGGAGCATTGGAGCAGAAGGCAGGCAGCACAAACTTCGGACACCCGCAGCCGGCCAATTCCTAGCCCTGGGCGCTAGGGACGCGAAGAACTCCCCGGGTAGGAAGTTCCCAGCGCCCGTGCCGCTGCCCCTGCGCGCCAGTCCAGACCTGGAGCCAAACGCCAGCCAAAATGGAGGAGGGGCCGCCCGGAGCGGGCCTCGTGGCGCGCGCTCACGGCGCCAGCCGCCTTCCTGCTGCCCGCCTCGCCCGCGCAGGCTGCCCTCGCCCAGCCCGGGCTCGATACGTGGCAGGCTGCTGCCCGGCGGGAAGCCAGAAGCCACTCCGCAAAGACAGTAAGAGAGCAATGAAAGACCCACCGGAGAGCTCCACCCTCTCCACCCGCAGGAACGTCCGGAGTAAGGCTGGGACGCCTCTCCTCGCCTAGCTACAAAACAAAGACAGCAGGCTCCAGGGAGGCAGACCAGTGACCCCTTTCCCCGATTCCAGGACGCGCACGCCCGCCGCGAGCTGGGAGCCAGGAGAACTTTCCCACGGAAGCCCACCGCTTCCGCCCTCTTTCGCCCCCAGTCGCGGCTGCAGGGCCGCTCCCGCACTCCTCCGGGGCTCGGCTGCACCGGGAGCCCTGCCATACCGGTGGGCGCCCCACGCGGACACCGCGCGCGTCCGCGCCGCCTCGCAGCCCTGGGGCCCGAGCCCCGCTCACTCAGCCGGGATGCGTTGGGCTGGCGGGGTCGCTTCTGGGAGCCCTGCCCGCAACACGGACCAGCCAAACAATAAGCCTCCGCTCCCTTTCCCCTCCCCCGGTAGACCCCGGCCACGAGGCACTGCCGCGGGAGGAGGGCGTGCGCCTGGCGCCAGCCCGCGATGCTGGCCGGGTGCCCTTGCTCCCGGAGGGCCGAGCCTGTGCGGGGCCGCGGAGCCGAGCGCGGCCGGGAGCGCAGGGCGGGCCACGAGGTGGCCACGGAGGCGGACGTGTGTGCGGGGGCCCGCGCGTGGTACCTTGCCGCTGGCCGTGCCGCCGCTGACTCCGATCAGGAAGGGCTCGCCGCCACTGGGCTGCTGGTGGCTCTGCAGAGTCTGCTCACTGTCCCCGGCCATGGCTCGAGCCGAGGAGCCGCCACTCGCCTGGAGCGCGGTGGGCTGCTTCCTGGAGCTGCCGCGCGCCTCCCTCTGCCCGCAGCGGCGGCGGCGGCGGCGTCTACATCCCGGGCCCGGGTCAGCGTGATGCCGCTGCTCCAATCGGGCGGGCGGCGCGCTGCGATTCGCCCGGGCCAAGGCTGCGAGGCGGAGGCCCAGCGCGCGCCCCGCCCGCCGCCCGAGGCCAAGGTGTGAGCCCGGCGCTCCCGGGCACAGAGCCGGGTCCCCGGCGCCCTCCCGTGGACCCGCGGGAAAGGAGGGCTGTGCCGAGTGCCGTGTAGGTGCCGGCCACCTCTTTCAAAGGGATAAAAAGCGAGGAGGGACCTAAAGGCAGATCAAGTAAGAGAGGGAACGCCCGGGACTGAGAAGCAACATCAGAACCAGTCKGGAAGATGGCGTTGAAACAGTTAATGCCATTTGCCCATCATCCGCTAGGATATTTTGTTTAAAGAAAACTGGATTCCCCTCTCCCGTTTGCCCGAAATAGTGTGCCAGCCGCAGCTCTAGACATCTCCTGTCCTGGAGACCGGGCGCGCCCTTCTCGCGGGCAGGCCTGCCCTCCCGCACTCCAGGAGCAGCCTGATTTGAGAGGCTTGTCTGGAGAGTACCCTTCCTGGGACCTCAGCCCCCAATACTGAGGTTCCTTAGTTAGGTTCGTGAGAACACTAAAAGGGCAGTGCCGCCTTGGGTACTTAAACCCACTGAACTTGAAGATGACGGCCGGCCCAGCTAGTGACTAAGAGCAGCCCCGGCCTCAGGAACCAGCTTTCTGGGTTCACACCCAGGTCCAGGGCCAGTCATTCTCCTGCTGCGCCTCAGCGTTCTCCTGCGTTCAGTGGACATAATGTGGATCCCATTCTGGGATGTTTGTGAGGTTTTAAATGAATAATCATATGTGAAGTGCTTGAAGACAAAAGGCTCCTGAGGGGGTCTGGGGAGGGAAGTTTTGCTGGGCACACCTGGGAACCAGAGGGCTTCATGAGCAACCTCCAGTCTCTGCCTCTCTAAATGTAGGACTAAGTCACTAGTGGGTGTTTTGTTTTGTTTTGATACTGGATATATTGAACCCAGGGCTTTACAACCATGCTACCTCCCCAGYCCTTTTTATTTTTAATTTTGAGACAAGCGCTTGCTAAATTGTTCAGGCTGGCCTCAAACTTGTAATCCTCCCACCTCAGCCTTAAGAGTCTTTGGGATTACAGGTGTGCATCACCATGCCTGGCAATTTGTTCTCTTTCAAAATATAGTAAGTAGGCTTAAATTGAAAATTATTTTGATGGGGCTGAGGTTGTGGCTCAAGCGGTAGCGTGCTCACCTGGTATGTGTGCGGCCTGGGTTCGATCCTCAGCACCACATACAAACAAAGATGTTGTGTCSGCCGAAAAACTAAAAAATAAATATTAAAAAAAAGAAAATTATTTTGAAAAATAATTATTAAACAAGATTAATAGTAGCCAAGAACATGGAATTCTTTTCACTTTTGAGATACTTTATATAACCATCAGTACCAAACACAGAATCAGTTCAGACAGGATGGGGAGATCGGCTGCTGGGTACCCAGAGACAGACAYTTGAGAGAGATTTACTGGAGGTCATCTTACCAAATAGCTATGGAGTGGATTAGATCTGACTGGCCATGAAGTCTGCCTCTTCTCCCAAAAGTCTTCTGCAGAAAAGAGACTTAACAGTCTTCAAGGACTTTTGCAGAACATTTTATAACCCAACATGAGGCCATTAGAATTTTGAATTTTAGAACTCAGGGCTAAAGGTTAGCATGGGGACACTGGGGTGCAGAGTGGAGGAAGAAGAGGATAGGAGGTTGCCATGTCCTCCATGAACTGCCTTCCCTGTCATTTCTGTAGCTTTTTTCCCATAATAGTTCATCATACAAATTTCAAACATACTTGAGAGATTTTGTCATAAACACTGAAATTCCCTGCCACGGAGTCTCTAAATAGCATGGTACTAGACCTGCTGTGTCATATAACTGCTGATCTGCCCACCTTCCATGCATTGAGATGCTACTGTAGTATTTCCTTCCCTTTGTTTTGTTTGGCTTACTCCAACTGGCTTAAACATTCCCTGTCTTTTGTTGTTGCCACCATGTCCCCAATACCTAGAACAGTTTCTGCCATCTAATAGGGTCTCAGTAAATATTTGCTGAATGAGTGAAGAGACACCATATCTCATTTCCACATGCTAGGGCCAGGTGAGCAGAAGGACAGGCAAGTAAGAAGCAGTCAGGGTGAGACTGGTGAATGAATGAATGGATCAACAAATACATAGGAGGGAAGAATGCACCAAGAAGCAAACATCCTCCCATCATTTTGAAAGCAAAGGTGGCGGTCCCTTGTCTGCAATCGTGTGGTTACAAACTCTCATTTCCGRATATTTTGTTTTTTCTGGCTGCTAAAGTTTGGATGTGGTTCATCCCCACCAAACTCATCTTGAAATTTAATTGCCAGTGTAAGTGTTCCAAGATCTTGGGATCTTAGGAGGGAAGTGCTTAGGTCATGGGGCTCTACCTTCAAAAGGGATAGACACAGCTCCTACAGGGTGGGCCAGTTATGGGGCTTTGGGGAGAGGATTCAGCCTTCCTATGCTCTCTCACACAGGTGTTGCTCTTCCACCTACACCTGCTCTCAATCTCAGCACACTCCCACCACGTGGTGCCATGCATCCACCACATCTGTGGCAGCCTGGGGTGAAGCCCTGCCAGAAGCCCAGCAGGTGCAAGGGCATGCTCTGGGATGCTCTCACTTCAGTGCTTTCTTTGGCATTCCACAGTAACTGTCTACAACGAGTTCTAGTGTGCCTCTTACCTAGTGGAGCTTACTGGTAACTGARCTAACTCACTGTGCTTCTCCGAACCTATAATAACATGAGTTAATACCACAAAAGTGATCTAAAAACGATCAGAAGCTTTCTACATGAAGGTAAGATCTACTCAGCAGAGGACAGTCAGTGCAGTATGCTCCCTTTCCCTTCTTTCCCTTCTCTGCCCCATCCCTAGGGTGGCTTGCCCGCATATAGAGAAGTTACTGTCAGTTTAAATTGTTAAGAGCACTCTCATCACAGTGACCTCAACAAGGACTTCTGCATCTCTGCTCTCTACAAAGCAAGGCAAGCTGCCCACGCTATCCCTGTGCTGTGTCATCTTCTCTCSGGAGCCTGGTCACCAAACCCTATTGCTGGAGATGCTCCAGTCACATGGAGCCTCCTGTAGCAATTACACTGCAGGTTCTGAAGTGGCTTCATGCTATGCTCCTTCCCCTCCCACCAGGAAAAGGATAGTTTTAATAAAATCCAGAGCTGCAACACATTCAACACCTTTTGGTACCTGTGACTTTTCTTTATATGCTGATTTTGTCCTGATCCAGTCAGACCTAGTAACACCGGAGCTGAGTCGGCATGAGAATGCAACTCAGCTGCAGCCAAGGACAGTAAACCAGGCACTGCGGCTGACTCGGTGTACCCCTCCTCCCCTGGCTCCAGCGAGCTGACCAGTTCTCTATTGGCTTCTCTTCCCAGACTTCATGCTCATTTCCCTGTACTGCCCCTCTAGCTTCTTTCTGCCTTCCATCAATCAGCAGTTGCTTTGACAGGCCATCAGTACTCKCCTTAAAAAGATGACCATATGATACCAGAGCTACTTGAACACCCAGCTCTGCCACCTACATCAATCAGGTTCTCAGATGCTGTTAGGCGGCACAATTGTAGCGCAGGGTCAGAGAGGCAGAAACCGCGGCTGCGCTGGAAACGCACATGCTTGGGCTCCACCCCGGAAGTGGTGAGTCAGGACACTGGGGGTGGGGCAGAGCGTTCCAGTCTGGTCCATCGAAGTTTGAGAACCACCGAAGGGGTGCAAAGAAGGACAGCTGCAGTCGCAATGCCAAGATTCAGATCCTTGCTTTRTTACTACTTTGTAGCCCTTGATAAGTTAATTTCCACAAAGCTTTTCTTCAACTGTTTAATGATACCTGGCTGGTAGGAAGTTTGGGGAAATGTGACTGTCCCTCCATGCAGCCTGTCAGCAGCAGGTGCCTCTCCATTATCACACAAGTCCCACTGAGGGGTCAGAGTAAGACGACCTAAAAAGCATTTTCTAATAAAAGTTGAAAGGAAATGTCCTGTAGGGCAAGGTGGTGCTTGCGGTAGTCCCAGGTACTAACCTGAGGATTCCTTTAGTCCAGGAGGTAAAGACCAGCCGGGAGACCCTGCCCCATCTCCTGTGTCACACACACACACACACACACCACATCTGCATATTTTTAAAAAGATAATGTTCAACCACAATAAGTGTTTGAGAGAATGTCTAACCTGACTTAAATATTTTTTTAAAATATTTATTTTTTGGTTGTAGTTGGACACAATACCTTTGTTTATTTTTATGTGGTGTTGAGGATCGAACCCGGGGCCTCGCACATACTAGGCTAGCCCCAGAAGAACTGGGTTCAACCACAGAGAAAATAAAGCAAAAAGCACCGAGTCCCTGGAGAAGTCAATCTCCCCACAAAATCCAGAGTCTCCAAGTCTTTCAGATGTGAACTCTTGGCACCTTCTTTCTGCTGGTCGGGGGATGCTCCCTCGGAACTCCTGAGGAAGTTCAGAAACTATGAAATGTGAAATGCCCTTGCTCCACAGAAGAGGGAGAGCAGGATGTTGCCTGAACTGTCAACATGCAGTCTTCATTCACATTTTAACAATGTCATGTTTATGAATCACTTAGGACTGACTGATTCCTCCATCTTTGAACCCAGTTTCACAATGTGTTTTGTTTTGTTGTTGTTTATGTGTTTTTTGGTGCAGGTGACTGAACCCATGGTCTAGGGGACTGAACCCACTCTTTACCACTGTGTTTTATCCCCAGACACAAAATGTGTTGAGAAATTTTTAGAAGGCTAATTTATTTCAAAATTTGAATAAATTAAGGCTCTTAGATCTAAGTAGGTTGTATTATTATGTGTTCTCCTATTGATACTATTTATAGAATTCTATTTGTAAATCAATCTTAGTATTTAAATATTTCATTGATATACCATGATCTCTATTAGTTCTGGATGAG